CTGTGCGCGTGCGCGAGCTCGGCGCCGCGCGGAACCGCGGATGCGCGCGCCGCGGGCGGCCGGTACCGCTCGTTCGGGAGCTCCCTCCCCGCCCAGAACCGCCGGTGCGCGAGCTCCGTGCACCCCAGTACCGTTAGTGCGCGAGCGGTGGCACCCCTGTGCAAGCTCCATGCGCCCCGGTACCATTGGTGCATGAGCTCCACGTGCCCTATGCTACCTGGGGCTGGAGCTCAGTGCAGCTCCAGTGCCCCCGGTGCTCCATACACCTCAGTACCACCAGAGTGTCAACCCCGTGTACCCCGGGGTTGCTGGTGCACGAGTTCCCTTTCCAAGCGTGGCCCCTTGGGTAGCCTTTCGCTTAGGACACCGTCCTTGCTGCCAGCAGGACTCAGGCTATCAGGGCTGCTTGAAAAAGCCTCCTCCCTATCCCCAGTAGTACACCCCATCATGAAAAACATTGCAGAAGTCTAAAGCAGTGAGATTTATTTACAGATATGTCCCAGAAGTAACTGGACAAATAAAAGATCCTCGCACATTTCAAACATCTCGCTCTTTTGTGGGTCCTGCTGAATTCAAGAAACGCGACCCAGGGTTAGCGCTGTCACCAAGGTCCCGATGGAGCTGAGGTGCAAGGCCCTGCTCCGCCATGGAGCCCATGCCCTGCGGCCTCTTGGGCTCTGCCCCAGGAGAACCAACCTGGTCCAGGGTGGAAGAGAGCAGGGAGGTGACACATGCCAGCTGTCACCTACAGCTGAGCCTGTGGCCTGAGCATCCGCCAGGACAGGAGGAAAGGGGGCAGAAGAAGCAGGGGCAAGGCCAGGAGTCCCAGCCTGCTGGAGCCCGTGGAGCCACCCAAGGAGTCATCGACGATGCGGGTTCGCAAGGGCTCCAGCACCCGCTGCCGCTGCGTGAGGATGGCGCCTCTGGCCCCGCTCCAGCGGCCGCGGCCCCTCAGGCGGTACTGGTAGGGCAAGCAGGGCCCGAAAAACACAGCCAGGGCCAGGCGGGGGTCGGTGAGGAGCAGCCACAGCAGGCTGGGCTTTACGCCGGTGCACGAGGCAAGGTCATCCATGTAGCTAACAAAATTCATGCGCGTGTTCACCTGCTCGGGAGGACTCCTTCGATAGGACAGAAAAAAAGACAAGGAAGAGAAAGAAAAAAAAAAAAGCAACATAATGGCCTGTTTCCAGTCATTTTTGAGCAACGAAGAAGCTTGTGCTCACTACTACAGTTGCTAAAGGGCCTGCTGGGAGAAGCTGAGAGATGCAGCTTTTTGGCTCTCAGGACATGAGAAATGGGCTAAGAACTTGGGTCATGTTAGCAATCAAGCCCATAGGCCAGTCATGCCGAAGCTCTTCTCCTACCTCGTACCAGCAGCGAGAGCTGAGCCCTTTAACTAGTGAGCATGTGGGACAAATCCAAGCCTTGTCTTCCCTGCAGGAGGTGTGTGCTCAGTCCCCTTTAGCAGGTCTGAGACAGATTTAGCTCCAGTGCAACTCAGACTCCACTATTTCTATGCAACAAAACATGCAAGGAACATGCTCATCGGCAGGAGATGGGGCTAATGATAAAAATCCATGTGACTCCATTTTGACCCAGATTTTCACTGGTATCTTTGGTTGTATGATCCAACGGTACCCCATGCATCATGGGATCTAACCCAGACTGCGCGCTGCCTGACTCCAGATAGGACAGCCAAAAAAAGCTGCAAGCTGCAAGGCAGCTCGTCCAGTGCATTTGTCCCATAGCCTTGAGGACATATCCTGACCTGTGGTGATGGGTGGTCCTAAGGTTGGGTGATCCTCAGCACTATCTACATAAGAGATGTGTTAGGGCCTTGTCTAATATTCATTTTTGACCTGCCACCCAAGCAACCCACAGGCTGCATTACCCAGCTCCAGTGAGGTTGTGTGTCTATTGTGCTCTCTAGGTCCCTAGAGCTCCCAGAGAGTGGATTTAGGAAGGAGAAGCCACGAGATGGCACCACTAGTCTGGAGGAAACCAAGTCTCCAGCTTGGAAATAACTGCATGGAGGAGGAGGCCACCAGCCTGAGCCGTCATGGGTCTTGCTGAGAACTGCTCCAAAAGTCAGCAGCATTTGGAGCAAGCTTGGGAGCTGAACAGTGGAGAGGGTGCTCTGGCCCTGGAAACTCCAGCCCGGGATGTTCCTGTTGCTGCAGAGCCTGGGAAGCTCATGAGGCAGCAGGAACATTTTGGCTACCAATGCTTCAGCAGAAATGGAGCAGCTCGGTGCTGCTTGACCCAGGTACATGTGGCTCTAGACGTGTCTGTGGCACCACCACTGCAGGACCTGTCTTCACTCATGTTGTCCTGGCCAGCGCAGCATGCCCGAAGCATGGGAGCAGCACTCACCCTTTGGCCAACTGCTTCTTCTTCTTTGAAATATCTTCCATCATCCTGCTGATGGGAGGCAGCTTGTTGAAGCCTGAAAAGGAAAAAGAAACTGTGGTCCATGGGGCCAGATGCTAACGCCCTACCGGTGCCGTCAGCCCCAGTACAAAAGATGGAAAGTGCTTTCCCGGGGTAGACGGAGCCTCGCGGAGAGCTGGTCAAGCTGTCCTTGACCTCCCTTGTGCCAGGTCCCATTGTCCGGGAACAACGGCTCCTACCTGCAAAGACGCTTGTCACCCAGCGCGCCTGCATTTCTGCTCCCACCATCACAGAGCCCATCAGTTGTATTAAGCCGACGATGGCCAGTGTTGGCTTTTCCAGCTGTGGGGGGAAGATGCTTTTATAGAGGGAAGAGCTGTGTTGGAAGAGGCTGCGAACTGAGTCTTCCAGGAAGGGAAACGAGAACCCGTATCCCGTGGTGAAGACCACCACGTCGATGTTTTCCATTGTCCCATCTTCAAAAACGGCCGAGCTTTCAGTGAACTCCTTCACCGTTGGTTTCAACACGACAGTCCCAGAGAGGATGCAGAATGGCAGCTCTTCATTTATAATTACGTTAAACTTGGGACTGGCACACGGAGGGAGAAGGAGAAAAGCATTAGCTTGTGGAGGGGTCCTGAAACATCTGGAAAGGCCTTTTGCAGCAGAAATCAAGGAAACCATTGCTGGGAGGGATCTTGAGAGCCTCAGGTTTTTGCCTCTGCCCCCAAAAGCAGGATCAGCCATTGCAAAGCAACCTGAGGTAGGTTTAACCTGCCCCTTGAATGCCAAAGTGATGGCAACTCCACAACCTTCCCAAGCTGCCTGTGCTTCCCTAGTAGATTTTCCTTAAAGTGTGATCAAGTCTCCAGCTTTACTAGGAGCACACTGGAGTAACAGGCTTGCTGCCTTCTTGCAGTGGCTGTTGGTGAGAGCCATTTGTGGAGTGTGGACTCTGGCTCCACGGACCTGAGCTTTTGGCTGGGACACTGGTCCATCTTGCATAGCCTCAGAGGGAGCAGTCACACCACCCTGACAGCTTCATGCTAAGGTGACCATCTCTCTGCAGGTAGGAAACCTATACCCAAAAGTCCCCTATGACCAAACTGGGAGTCCCGACTCTGCTGTGAACACAGGCACCAAGAGGAAAGCTCCCAACAGTCTCATTTACGTCATGTGACCATGAGTTTAGTACAAAAAACAATACATCATAAAAAGTGCTGATGAAAAAAGAAGTTCGTTCCCCATTAACATTATGCTCTTCCTCAACTGTTCTTTGCAGTGCTCAATTGCATATTTCCATTCATTAAAACCCACCAATAAACCAACAAAGCAGTCAGAGGCAATACCTTTGAACAGAAGCCAAGCCGTAGTTTGTGTGGTTAAACCATGAATTGAACTTCCCAAACTTGATCCTTTTCATGATGGCTGATGGGAGAAGCCATTCAAGAAAGTGTATTAAGCGCGTTCTAGTGACCATGTCCAAAGGGAAACCATGAGATGAAATACGACTGACCACCCATGTGCTGCTCCTGGCACTGATAAACACCTGGGAAAGAAGGCAGGATTGACCATTTCTTGCTCAAAGATCAAAATTTCCATTTTTGCCCTGAATGACAGATCCCAGCACATGAGTTTGGTAGCATGGAGCCAGATTAACCATTGTAAGGGAGGGAGGTGTCCAGATGAACAGCCAACTCCTGGTGCCTTTAACAGCCTTCCAGCAGGCTGCAGCCCAGCTACTCTGCCTGCCTCCCCAATGGCCTAAATGCACCAGGAATCTCAGCGCTTGCTTTGCTGGCCCACAATTTGAAGGTCCATTTAGTTAGAAAGCCATTAGGCAATGCCTTCCCTAGACATGTCCACAGTTGCTGGTGTGGGATACTGTTTGCTTCGGGCTGCATCATGTTCCGGGAGGAGATGCTGCCCAGCTTGGCAGCACTGGGGCCGGCCACGCTGCCCAGCTTGCATGTTGGCTTGGCACCATGGCAGGGCCTACCTTCGCAGCCACGCGGCTCAGCTCCACGGAGATGTCGCCGCCGGTGTTCCCGAGGCCGACCACGAGCACTCGTTTCCCCTGGAAACCCTCCGTGTCTCGGTACTCCCTGCTGTGCAGGTACCGGCCTCTAAAGCGTGTTTCGATACCTAGGCAAAGAGCATCTCCGACCAGCCGGTGCTCAACTTGCAACTCTCCTGCCCCTTCGTTTTGCCTCCCATCTCCCTCTGGGCAGCAGAGCCAAGTGCAGTGAAGCCCACAAGGACCTTGGCTCTGTTGAATGCTGCCAAGAGCAACCATGCTCTGCCTGGCATTCCCTTTCTCCTAATACCATATCCCTCATGGAAACAGCCCCTGGAAGCCCACCAAAGGAGGGCTTACCTGGAAAAGAAGCTAAGGGCAAAATAGGCTCCTGGTACCGGCCAGTGCAAACCATGACAGCGTCGAAGATGTGCGACTCTCGGCCTGTTTTGGTCTCAGTGACAACATCCCACTGGCCTGAGGTGGAGAAATCGGGGCGCTTCCTCACACTGCGAACTGTTGTCTTGCATCAAAGCCCAAGAAAAATCATAGTCAGTGACCAAAACAGGCCGGGACTTTATATACAAGTTGCAAAAGATCCACAGTCCTTATGAACTTCAAGCATGCTATTAACCCATGGCCTGGGCCATGCCCTGGTGTTTGCAGCTTCTTCTGGACCATCCCTGGTAGCCATGACGCACCGGGACCCTGGCTCACCTGGAAGCGTATGTGCTGCAGGAGGCCAAAGTGCTGAGCGTACATGCGGAAATACTCCAGGAGCTGGTGGTGGGGTAGGAAATTGGGGAAGTTATCTGGGCACGGGAAGTCACTGAAGCAGGACATCTCCTTGGAGGTGTTGGTGATGACGGACCGGTACACGCTGGTCCTCCCACAGTCCGCTGTGCCCTGTGGGAAGCAAACGGTGCAGATGGCAGAGGGACAGCTATGAGCTTGATTTGTCTGGGTCGTCAGAGTGACTTGGACTTGAGGAATCAGCAGCATCTAACTCCCTGTCCCTCCCTGTCTCCACTTGTGGCTTCAGGACAAGGTGAGTAGAATCATAGAATCATAGAATGCTTAGGGTTGGAAGGGACCTCTAGAGATCATCTAGTCCAACGCCCCTGCATAGGCAGGGACACCGAGAGCACGTGGCACAGGACTGCACCCAAGCGGGTTTTGAAGATCTCCAGAGAAGGAGACTCCACAACCTCTCTGGGCAGCCTGTTCCAGTGCTCTGTCACCCTCACTGTCAAGAAATTTTTCCTTAAGTTCCTATGGAATTTTTGGTGTTTCAGTTTCCGGCCATTTCCTCTAGTCCTATCAGTGGCCACCACTGAAAAGAGACCATCACCGTCCTCTGCACTCCCTCCCTTGAGGTACTTATAGACACTGATTAGATCCCCTCTCAGCCTTCTCTTCTCCAGGCTGAACAGGCCCAGCTCCCTCAGCCTCTCCTCATAGGGCAGATGTTCCAGGCCCCTGATCATCCTTGTAAAGTAGTAGAGTCCTGTCCTTCGACAGAAGGAGTAGAGTCCTGTCCTTCGAGCCTGGCCCTATGTGGCCATTGCAGGAGGCGTGGGCACCTGGAAACCACAGCTTCTACTCCCCCATTCCTTTCTGCCCTTGGAACCAGGGACGGAGCCCTGTTCCTGGGACAGAGATGGTCCCAGAGGCCACAGTGGTTCCTTCTTCTTCAAAGGTAAGTGAGATTGAAGTGAAACCAGGGAAAAACCTCCTTGTGCAGGCAGAGCCCACTCACCACATAGCGCCAGAGCCCCCCGATGTCCTCACTCTGTTCGAAGCAGGTGGGCTCCAGCCCATCCTCCAGGCAGCACTTGATGGAAGCCAGCCCGCTAGCTCCAGCCCCGATTATGGCCACTCGCCGCACCATGGTGTCCTGCAGGAGACCAGAAGTCTCACTCACTGAAAGCGCATAATAATTATTTTTTCAGTTTATTCCTTTTCCTTATTTACTCCTTTTTCATTAGAAAAAGAGGCGATGATCAGGTTTAGGATCACCCTTGGCCTTACCTCTCAGGCATCACCCTACTTGTGGAGAGCTTCCCTACTAAACCCCATTGACAGAAAGGGGCAAGAAGACTTCTCATTTCTAAAGCCGTTTCTGGAGCAGCTGGTCCCCGATTGCTGTCTCAGCTCAGAGACCTCTTCGCATTGCTCTGCATCATTGCCCTGACCCAGCTGCTCCTCCATGGCTCTGGATGTGGCCCTGCTGACTCAGCAGGAGCGGAGAGGGGCCATGGTGGTCCAGGCTCTCTTCTTGGAGCTGCCTTGGAGAGGCCTGGCTGGGGCACCCGTCCTGGTTCACCATTACAGGGGCAGCCACATTGCCAGTAGGGGCTTGCAGAGTGAGCACGCATGCACCAGGCTTCCCAAAAATTCACACAATGAAACTTCACTTGAAGGTGTTTCAAAGAAGCTGGAGAAGAAGGTAGTGGTGAAAAAACAACACCTCCATTTTGGAGGAAAAAAAAAAAAAAGGTTTTGACATTTCACATTCCAATGCAAAACCTTTTGCCCTTATTTCTGTGGTTTATTTTCAGAAGAATGCTGTACTGGACAGGGTGGTGGTTTGGAGGCAGTCATCTCACAAAGCCAGGAAACCTGGGCTCCTCCCTCTAGAAATAGGGTTTCACCCATCCCCTACAAAACACAGGCAAAGAGAGTGCCCCAGGGTTCATGGCAGGCAGTGTAACCTGAGCAAATTACCCTCTGGAAACATTTCTAAGAAACATTTTCAGCTAAATTGATTCATTTTCTACTTTTTCTTTTACTTCTCAATTAAATAACATTTTCTTGGTGACAGGGTAGGAAGCTTTTAAAAACTTGTAATGCCTGACTCTGAGTGGGAATGGAGATTAACGAATCTGAGGCCATGAACAGTAATGGAAGTTCTGCTGGTTATTACAAAATGCAGGAAAGCAAAAAGGAAAGGAAAAGTTAGAAACCCAGGAGTTCAGCATGCAGAGGAACTCAGACCTCAGGGCACACAAACCAAAGGCTGTGCTGCACCTCATTTAATACCGAAGCAAAGAAACTAGAGAAAAATTAACCCGTGTTTGTTACATTTGATTAGTAGCAAAACCTTAATCTGCAATGTCTCAAAAGGGAGCAATCTATAACTTTTAAGGCAAACAGTAAGTTAACGTAAGCAAGAAAATGCAAATATCTAGACGGCCCTTCCTAGAAAAGCAGAAGAACTAGAAGGATCTCATGAACTTTCTCAGCCCACTGCTCTGCCAGCCACAGTATGAGGTTTGACTACCACCAGTTATACAGCCAAGACATTCAGATAACTGGGTATCCAATGCTGAGTAACTTACAGCCTGCAGCGCTCCTCAGGTTCCTTTTTCAAGCACTTCTCAGGACACTCAGCTATGTCTTTCAGGAAAGAGGAGCAATATGTCTCGGGTGATAAACAGCACCTCTGTGTTTTAGGGCTGTTTACAGCCTGTTTTGTTTGCAAGACGAGCTCTGGAGCTGGCTGGACCCACAGCCTGGCCTCACATTTGCACTGCGTCAGCTCAAAGCTACTGTCTACACCCCAGGAGAAACTCCACGGCAACAAAGCACTAATCTTTTTTTCTTTTCCTGAAAGCAAGCAAAACGCAAGTGCAAAGGAATTAGGAACAAACCTTTCCAGGGCAACGCTGCGCTTTTCCGTGCGGGCTTCGTCCGTCCTTTGCTTGGAGTTTCTCAGACCACAGATTTAAATGACAGGCTAAAGTCCGCAAAGTCCCGGTGCGCTTTCCTTCCCAGACCGCCAACCTTTACCCCGCCGCCCCTGCCAGCAGGAAGCGGGTAAATAGCTCTGGGCTCATCGCGGCAGGGCTGGGAACGACGACATTTGTGTGCGCCGGGGACGGGCACAGAAATTCCTCTCCAATGGGACCGGTCCTATGGAGAGGGGTCTAGGAGTGATCCTTCCCCATCTCTTTCAAGACCAGAGTAGGAAACGGCACAAGAACCTGCCCCCGAGCTGGGCAGGGACTCAGGGCCAGGATGAGGGGCAGCTCCGTGTCCAGCTACATCCATAGGGATGAGCTTGCAAGGACTGCCACCGCAGCTCAGTGTGGCATCTGTGCACAAGGGCTGCCCAATCCTGCTACAAGTGGTTGCCCTGTGCCGTGTCTGTGCTAGACACATGCTTAATGTCCCCAGGAATTCAGTAAAGCGTCCTCCTTTTGCATGTATGCTAACCAACAGTCTGGTGGGGATTAATGTGCCCACTACAGCCTATTTTCTGGTGCTATGTGGAAGTCCTCAGGGCACAGGGCTATAGGATGTGTGTTCTCAGCCCAGGAACTGCTCCACCACTGGTCTGGCCAAGGAGCTGAGCTGGAGGCCTGCAGATAGGCATTGAAGAGCACGTTAGCAAGTCCTGGTCACACCAGCAGCCATGAGAGCAGGTCAGAGAAGAGTGAAAAATGCTGGGGTGACCCTGGTACCACCAGTTTCACCAGTTAAGCCCGCCTGCAAAGGTGCAGCTGGAGCAGAGAAGGTTTAGTGCTATCAGTTAAAGCTTTAAACCTGTTCCGCTTGTCTGTTGAAATCCCTTTGGTCATATCCCATGCATGCCATACCCCAGCACACCTTATGGGACTGACTGATTTGAGATTACATTCCCCAGGACAAAGACAGACAGGCTTTTTAATCACATCAGAGTTACTGGAAACCAAAGACCACTGCTGCCACGAGCAGGAGAAAGCCAAACACAGTAAGGAGAGAAGGCCAGATGCTGGAAGAGCCGCTGGTGACTCTGGTTCTCGTTGGCTTTAGGGTCCGGTCCCACTGGGTGAGGATGGCTTGTCGCGCTCCATCCCAGTGCCCGGGGCCTCGCAGCCGGAACTGGTAGGGGGTGCAGGGGCCGAAGAAAATGGTGAAGGCCAGTTTGGGATCGCTGAAGAGCAGTGCCAGCACACTGGGCTTTGCACCGATGAAGGAGGCGAGCTCGTCCGAGTACACCAGGCAGTCAGTTTTGAGGACTTCATCAAAGAGCAGGCCGAACCTTAATGAATTGGAGAAAATGGGGTGGGGAGAGATGGGCATCAGCTGGGTTTGCAGAGGGAATGGAAAACAAATACCCTTCATTGGCTTTATTACTAGATTTGAACACAATTGGCATCCTTTTAGTACAAGACTGGGCATGAAGAATGGATGTCAGGGGCTGCGCAGTCACAAAGCCTGCCCAAAGCAAAATCAGCTTGTATAAAGAGGACGCCAATGTGTTTAGATACCTATCCACTATGACTCTTTCACCAGGAAGACTTGAACTGTGAGGTCTGTCTTACCAGACTTGGTTTTTGCTCTTCTTCATTACTTCATCCTCCATTGCAGACCGAGGAGGCAGCTGGCACAAGCCTAGAGAACAGAGGAGAGCACCTTGTAAAGTCTAACTTCAGGGGGAACATGTCAACTCATTTGGTGATGCAAAATAGGAAAATCCTTCCCCAGAAGGGCGGGAATAAACAGTCTCTACAGTTTAGCTCAGCAGTAGGGAATTTTGCCTAGAACCAACTCCACATGTTTGTATAAATTAGCTTCCAGCAGACAGGGTATAAAGCATTAGCTGAACAGGCAACAACAGCAATTCAATCAGATTCAAGGGGGATCCCATGAACTTGCATGCAGTTTGGATTAAGTGTGAAATCATGTTGCTGCAGCCCAGCTGAAGCGAAATACTTGGAAGGAGCTAAGTTTCAGCCCTAGAAATGGTCCCTCATCCACTGGAAAATTAACTTTTAGCCATGATGTCCCCATGCACAGAAGTCCTTCCTGGTGCGTGCAGAGGAAAAGTTGTGCCAAGTGTGCATTTTGGTGCAAAGGAAAGCTCATGTCACTCCCCTACCTTTGAAGACCCGGGTCACCCAGCGTGCTTGCATCTCTGTCACAGGCATGATTGCTCCAAGGGGCTTGATCAGGCCAAGGACAGCCAGGGTGGGCCTCTGCAGATGCGTTGGGAACACATATTTGTAGAGGGATGCGTGCTTGTTTTCCACTTTGACATCTGCTTCTTCAAGGAAGGGGAAAGAGACATTGTAGCCCGTGCAGAAGACGACTATATCAATAGGCTCCTCTTCAGGGCAGCTGTGGAAAACAACTGAGTTCTCCTTGAATTCCTTCACGCGTGGCTTTATGGTGACCTTCCCCGTGAGGATGTAGCTTGGTAAGTCATCGTTCAACACAGGCTCTCGTACTGGGTAGCTGCAGAGAGACCAAGGGGCTCTGAATCCTGGGAGACCACGGACAAGCTCTGCACTCTACCCTTCACCCTGACTCTGGGGTCTCCAGTCCCACAGCTCCATGTCCTCCAAGACCAACAGCGCTGCCTCCCTCCTCTCCAAACACTAGAGCAATAATGTCACCCTGTCCCACAGCCCAAGTTTCTTATGTGGATATCTCCTTCATTCTTCCACCATTCATCCAATTATCCTTAAACCCCATTCTTTTCAGACTGATCCCTGCTTTAAGTCTCCTTTCTCCTCTTTTTCTGGGGAATCGCTTCAGAAAAGCTCCCCTGAAGCATGGTTTCTGTGACCAAGAGGGCTAGAGCTCACCTTCTCCAGCTGGACCAGAAAACCCCAGGGGTCATGGCCAGCACTGCAGTCTGGGGTCAGTCTGCACGTTCCCACACATGTGGCTTTTGTTCATGTGCAAGTCTGGCTCCAGCAAAGGGAGCTCTCCCCATCCCCCTGCAATGCAACCCCTTTGAGACCAGGCTGGAGGGAAGCCACCTGAGAAGTACCTCTTCTCCGGCTGCAGGCCATAGTTTTCATGCTTAAACCACTGGTTCACCCTGTGACTAATCAAGCCCCGAGCAAGGGGCCCGGGGAGGTTGTTCCTAAGGAGGCTCATAAAGCGAGTGTTGAAAACCATGTCCCACGGGTAGCCATGATCAAATACGCGGCTGAGCACCCAGGCACCTCGGCCGGTGCAAATCGTCACCTGGGAAACAGCAGAGAACCAGAAATTCAGATGAGGAGCTTGTTTCTTTGCCTTTCTAAAGCAACCCATAGGCAAAGCACAGCACAGACAGCTACATGATGAGAAAGCTGCAACGGCATATTTAAGATTTGCTGGCAGCAGGAGATCAGGGTGAAGCAAGAGAGAAGAGAGCAGTCATTTAGCTTTTGGGGGAGGTCTCCAACAGAGAAATATGGACCCAGAGATACCGTCTGGACCCTTCAGGGTGAATTCAGAGGTTCCTATCTCATTTCTCCTGTGCTGGCAGCTTGCAAACAGAGCTTGGCTGTGCCCAACAAAGCCAGCGTGACCCTGTACCTTGGCAGCCACGCGGCTGGCTTCCACGGCAATGTCCACTCCTGAGTTGCCCATGCCGACCACGAGGACTCTTTTCCCTCGGAACACATCCGGACGCTTGTACTGCCGGCTGTGAAAGTATTTGCCTTGAAACTTCTCAATGCCTTGGGGAAAAAGAAAAAAAAAATCTCTTAATTACTTCAGCAAGCAGACATTGGAATTTGCAGTTTTCATAGGGATAAGTGGTACGGAAACAATCCAGATGGCAAGAGAAAGGAATTCCTATCAGTGACCACTAGGGACATGGAGAACTCCAGCTGTCCATCCCATATGCACAGGAAAACCATTTCTATCCCAAAATGAGGGCCAAGCTCTGAAAGTCTGACATATCAACCCCTAAAGTGAGCTTTTCTCTGGTAGCAGAACAGAAAAGTCCCCAGCTCCTTAGGCTCCTTCAAAGAGGTTAAGGGCACGCTGCCCAAAGAGGTCGGCTGTGTGGAAGGCATGTTACCTTCACTTCTCCTGTCCCAAGAGCGGCTTCAAAGGTACTGAAAAATAAAGGCAAAAGCACCACTAGGTTGGGAACTGGGTAGAACTCATCATTGCTGTGATGGGACGCAGCACCCAGGGCAGCGACACAAAGACCTGCCGTACCGGGGAAGGTGTGCAGGGGGAGGGATGGCTCCCAGAAGTTGCCGCTGCAGACCATGACGGCGTCGAAGATGTGCGACGTCCGTGTGCCGCCTGCCTCCGTGACCACATCCCACTGGCCGGTGGTAGCAAAGTCAGGACGCTTCCTGATGCTGAGCACGGTTGTCTGCAGAAAGGAGCCATGCCCAAGTGAGCCAGCAGTGCCGCAGGTGGCCCCATCCCGTCCCCCGTTGCGCTCCTTTCCCACCTGGAGCTGGATGTGCTGCCGCAGGGCGAAGCGCTCCGCGTAGCGCCGCAGGTACTCCAGGAGGCGTGCGTGGGGCAGGAACACCGGGAAGTCCTCGGGGTAGGGGAAGTCCGAGAAGGCCGACATCTCCTTGGACGTGTTGCTCACCACCGAGGCGTAGAGGCTGGGTCTGCCATCCTCAATGTTCTCCTGGTGCCACCAGCAGCATCAGCCTCCCCTGTCCCCACCATCACCGCCCCATCACGGCCACCCTGCCAGCTACTCACCGCATAGCGCCAGAGCCCGCCGATGTCCTGGCTTCGCTCGAAGCAGGTGGCTTCCAGCCCCTCGTCCAGGCAGCACTTGAGGGCCGTCAAGCCGCTCACACCGGCGCCCACCACTGCCACCCGCATGGTCACGGTGCCGCCTGCCCCTGCGATGGGCTTGGCACAGACGCAGTGGAGTCTGCGTGTTGCAGACGGGTGCTGTTTGCGGCAGTGTCCAACTGCTCCCTCCGTATGAGCCGTGCAAATATTTGCGTGCTAATCCTCAGAGCTGTGCC